CACCCCACCCCCTACACATACAACTCTTTTGTTTTTGTTTTAGTAAGAGTTTTACAGCACTCGCAGCACAATTGGGTCATATAAGTGCCGAAGATTACAGGTGTGACAAGAGAGTAGCAAACACAAAAAGGGGGAGAGTTAAAGTAGATAAAATGTGTTTGATAGGAGAGAAGGAGCAAACCCCACCAAAGCACCCGCCAGCCACCCCCAAACACAACTCTTTCAAAGAGAACCAACAAAATCGATTTTTAGAATGAAATTGATGATGATGATGATGATGATGATGATGATGATGATGATGATGATGATGGTGGTGGTGGTGGTGGTGATGATGGTGGTGATGATGATGGTGATGATTGGGTTGTTTTCACGGACTGACACGGCCTTCACGTGCGGGAACTGCCGAGACAATCCGCCGTGTGGGAAGGGACGCAACTGTGTAAAAACTCACGTGTAAGTTCTTTCCTAGATTGCTCCCCTTGATATACGCCAATTAATCCACACATTGATTCATGAACGCACACATTGACATTCATTCAAACATTCATTCATTCATTCATTCATACTTTCACTTATTCAATCATTTATTCATATACCACATTCATTCAATCATTCATTCATTCAACCATTCAGACATTCATTCATTCAGTCTATTAGTCATTTAGCCATTCGTGCATAGACCAGATATATTAGAGCTTTTACTGTATTTTATTTCTTCTGCCAAAATATTATTTTGATAGACTGGAGAGATTGGAGAAAGGAATGAGGACGTACGGGGGAGGCTTCACAAGGGAAAAATGTGGATGCCTAGAGAGAAGCCCGCAAGCTGCGCACATCCACGATAGGAAATACAGTTTTTAAATGTGAGGCAGCGTGGTGGAATCAGGCTCTCGTCAAATTTTGGGCCTGTAGAGTTATTAGTATCATCTTAAAGTTTATTCACTTGTCATTATTTGGATGAAAAAAGTACCCATTGATCTTGAATACAAGTCGAGATATTTGCGAAAGAAGGAGGTGGGGGTCACCTGTTTTGAGAGGTAAAACTAGTGAGAAAATGACCGCCAAAGATTAGTTATTTCCTTAGCTTTAGAGTCCGTGGTAACTGAAAATTTACATATTTGTGCCTTTATTCAACGCTTTTCAGAAAAATTCACACAGAAATGGGTTCTTTAATGGGCATGAAAGGTGTTGAGCCAAAGAACAAACATTTGATAAAGATTCTCAAACCTGCGGAAAAATGCAAGTTTCTTCACTTTGATTACTTTGACGAGAGCCTGATTCCACCACGCTGCCTCACAAAAGGTTGCTTTTAATGACCAGCGGGCTAACCCAGATGTCGGGGGTTTCCAGAAATCTTGACCTTCACCATGAGTGAGCATTGCTCTTCCTATGGGAGAAGTTTGTTTTCATTCGTGTGTATATTAAATTCGTTTTGTTATAGAGAAAATTATCCTTGTGTTTTAAAGAAACTGAACAAGGGATATCTCCACTCATGACGCCAAAGGTCTTGAGGGCGCCTAAGCATTCTCTCTATGCCGTGCGCACAACTTACGAAATGTTTGGGATGGTGAGCTTGTGGACAGGTAATGTTCAATGCAAAAAACTCTCTGCTCTTTACTTAATGTAACTATGATATCTGCAGACTTCTATGGACCTGTTAGACTGCTGTAGCTTGCAATATTGCGCGCTTGTTGCAACTTTTAGAGGTAAGCCAAATACGAACTGGTGCGTCATGCTATGAAAATGGCGACAAGGTGAAAAAGTGTTGTGTGTTAATGCACTATATAGAGCAAAACCATTCCATGGACTTACCTAAAATGCATATCAGACAAATTCCTTTTGGCTTCCTAATATTATGTTCAAATCTGAAACGCACAACTTCAGTATGGAGGAAGATATTTACAAAACAAGATATAAAGTTGTTGTTTTATTTTTATCACCCTGTAAAATGTTTGCCCCTTGTTCAGTTTCTTTCAAACACAAGGATAGTTTTCTCTTTAACAAAACAAATATAGCGGGATATGTTGACTCAAAAAATGTTGTCTACCCCCC